ATCGAAAGCATTTCGGTGGGCACTTTGGTAAGCACCCATCAGCGGTTCCTTAATCTTGTCGTTGATGAAGGCCTCGATGTGGGGGGTCGCCATCTCGAGCAGCTTCTCTTTGCTGTAATCTTTGAGCCTATCAACCACTGACGCTGCCTGGAAGCGTAAAGCAGCACGCTGTGCTCTAGCAAGGTCAAATCCCGCACTTTGCAGGCGGCGTGCCTGCGACAGCCTGCGGGGGATCTCATTTGGGCACGGATTGTAGCTGCCAAAACCGCACCAACGACAGCTGGGGTATCCCCCTGCCAGGCACCCATTGCATGTTCCTGATTCCGCAGCTTGCGCACAGCCACGGCAAGACTCGTCATGGAAGCATAGCTTTCCATCGGAAAGGTCAGACGAGCAAACGCTGGATGGCTGCTCGGAGCAGGCCTTAGGCACAATTTTCTCAGGGAGAAGTGAGGCACATCCATCTTCAGGAAGTTCCAGGCGGTCAATCTTTTCCTGCTGTCCCTCGACATCTGCCCCACAGTCCCATCGTTTTAGGTCCTGCTCGCACTTTCCATCACCTGTCGGTCGAAAGCAGCCAAGTTTTACGCATGTATCAGAGCTGATGCACTGCCGTCTGCCATCCTCATGGAGAAACAATAGCTTACCACCACCGCAAACCAAGCAATCTTTGGGCGAAGGCCCCAAGCATTCCTGGCAGTCGCCTGCACATGGTTCACAGCAATGGACCATGTAGCATCCTGGTTCCAAGTCTTCGGGAGAACTAGCACATTGATCGGAGCGGATGCATCTTGCAAGCATTTGGTGCGTGTAGAACTTTGATGGACAGCCCACAGTCTGCCGGCCTGATTCCAACTCACTGAGCCTTGCAACTTGTTCGACGCCTCTTTGTGAAAGTTGACACTTGCCATCCCCTGCATACTCTGCCACCTGAACACCAACACTTAGTTGCTGAAGTTCCTGAGCCAACTTCAACGACTCATCATCGTTAGGTTCGGCCTGCAAGCGTCGCAAGGAGAACCCCTCCTCAAATTGAAGCCTGTGCATGCTGCGCCAACGCGCAGGGTCAGGCTGAATGGAGAGCCGCCTGAGAAACTCACTTCCAGATGCGTTTGCAGAAGATGGACCAATGGTGCAGAAGGGCGCGAGAGAATCGCAGCGAGCGAGGTTGCATCGCCTGCGCTCCTCCAGAGCCGGGCAGTCGTCGGCGCCTTCATCAGGGTACTGCGTGATGAGCCGTGAACGGGTCAACCACCCAATGCCACACGTACTGGAGCACGAGCTCCAGTCGGCCCAGTCATTCGTCAGGCACTCCCTGACAGGCTGACGGCTACACGGCGCCACACTTGGAGCAACCTCCCCTGCATAATTGTCAAGGCAGGCCCCGCACTGGTGGTTGGCATTGCCTTCGCTGCAAGGGGTTCGGTGCAGAGCATTGCAGTCTGGTGCCTGCGTGCAGTTCAAGTCCTGCACAACTGCCAGCACAACCACCTCACGCACGCCCCAAGGCAGCACTGGCCCGGAAGTATCTGGAATGCTGTGATAAACAACGGTTTGCCAGCTCGTGGTGGGGGACCCACCATTACAGGAGGTGTAGCAACGGCAATTCGAGGCACTGCCGGGGGCCGACCACAGCGCAGCAAAGGCCATGTCGTGGCAAAGCTCCTGGCAGCTGGTCAGCGATGGAGAGGGCTGCGCACGCGCCTCCTCTCCGCAGTTCCAGTTGACTTTGTGAAGCGTCCAGTTGCCACGTGGCCCAGGCACTCCCCTGAGTTGCAACGAGACACGGAGGGAGCCACAATGAGGAGGCTCGGAAGGCACGAAGAGCCAGTGTCCGTCTTGGAAGCGGGGAGTGGCTGCAGTGGCTGCGAAGGCAAGGGAGCTGAGGAGGTCTTGCGCGGTGCTGGCATTCGGGCGCTGGCTCAGAGAGGCATGGGCGATGGAGTGCCAGGCTGTCACGGAATCTGAAGAACTGCACTCGACATGGACATCGACATGTTGGTCTGTGTAGTTGGCAAGGAGAAGCGCGAAGCGCAAGCTGCGCAACTCGTGAACCCTCTCAAACTCTGCCAGGAAGGACCCCTCCATCGAGGAGAGCAGCCAAGGCAAACCAAAGGCCAGATTGGAGGCGGGGCTCATGGAAGTTCCGCCTACGGAGAATCTGGACACAGCTGTCATGGCATTGCGAACCTCGCGGCAGACATCGGGGCCCGAACCGGCCTGGCAGTCGAAGCCCGCCTCCGGCTGGCAGCGGGCATCGCAGCCATCTTCACCTCGGGTGTTGCCATCGTCACAGCCCTCTGCAGCCTCTCGGCGGCCGTCTCCGCAACGGGCCGTGCGAACGCTGAAAGAGCCTACGAGGACCGGCTGCTCACAACGCAGGCACTGCCAGCAAGCGGCATAGCTGCCCTGAGGTAGCCCGGGCACTGTCCAGCGGAGGGATGTCTTCCTGGAGCCTGTGAAGCCAGTCAGCGGCGAGGAAAGCATCACGGGAGAAGAGGCGGGGTCTGATGCGTTGAGGGTGATGTTGGGCTCGTCGGGCTCGGTGAAGTTCCATGTGCTTTGGCAGTCCTTGCCAAGGTAGAGACTGTCAGTGAGGGCCAGGCCACTCCCAGAGATATGGAGCTGAAAAATTGTAGAAGCTGCAGGGTCAAGCTGGCCACCTTGCGCACCCGTGACCCGATGTGGCCCGGACACAGTCAAGCTGCCGCAGGGCATGCGGCGTGGGTTTCCGGCATCACGCATGGGCCTCCAGCACAGAACCATGTTTCCGAGCTGGTTCAGGAGCGCTTCAGGAGCGATGGGCACAGAAGTCTTGTTCGCATCATCCGTGGGCAGCGGCACTTCGATGAGTGGAGAGTGAAGGTCGCAGCCTCCGTTGCCCGAGGCAGTTGCAGAGGTGTCCGAGATAGCCCTGTAGACGCTGAGAGCCCCGTCGGGAATTTGGAAGCCCGACACACCGACTTCACAGGTACGGCCCCGGATGCAACTGGCTTCGCAGCTGCTGGGGCCGGTAAGCAACAGCTCCCCAAAGGGAACGGCAAAGGCCGCTGCTGACCCGGACCTCCAGCAGAGCTCATAACTGCCCGCTCCGCTGAAGGCTACGCCCAGCTCATACTCGGCCTTGGATGCCTCATAGAATGCTGCAGATGTCCAGTTGGCAAAGACACTTCGTGATTCAGGGTGCTTGAAGCGACTGGCTCTGCAGAAGCCGCGCTGTGCCACTAGTATCTGGCTTCTTCGGGGATCAGAGCCCTCGGGAACCACCAGGGCAGCCCTGATTGTGCAGTTGGCTGCCAGTGCGCAGCGCCAAGTACCCGCGACAGGGCCCTCGGTCGTTATTTGCCTGACCTCCCGTGCATTGCCCTGGCCTTCCAGACTCATCACGGCGCTCGGCCCCAGCAAAATGGCATACTGAGAGGCCGGGCGGAGGTTCGCCGAGGGCAGGTGAAGTCGAAGCATGCCTCCGTGGATCTGCACTGCAGGCTTGAGCACAACCCCGTTTGAATCCACAACTGCAAGCGTTCCGTTGCCCAATTGCACCTGCTCAGAAAACTGAGCCTCCACTATCCCACCGAGTGGAAGAGGGTCGCTGGCATGGAAGTGCTGCAAAGTCGGCACACTCTTCGCCGAAAGGCGTCGAGTTTGTTTACCAGGCCCTGAGCTCTCGACGGTGGCAGCCTTGCTCGGGCTTAACACCTCCATGAAGTCTGTGTTCTCGGAGTGTGCAAAAACATGGAGCTCCGAGATTAGGCGGTCTCGCCGGTCTTCATCCTTCAAGTTGGCATACACAGTCTGTAATCCAGGCGTGCCTGGCTCCGATTGGATGGAGGCGGAGGCAATTACACTTCCGCTGAAAAATTCTACATCTATCACATCTCCTGATGCACCACTTGCCAGCATGATCTGCTTGATCACTCTCTCCTTTAGCTTGGAGACCAAGCTCGGCTTCGCCATGAACTGCTGAAAGTCAAGGGCTTTGAACGTGATATTCATCTCAACCTTGGTCCCAGCTGCTTGCTCACAGTCGGAGCCATGTAGCTGCGCGAGCTTCATAACATCGATCGGCAGCACGTTGAGTTGCGTCGCCCTCTCCGAGGAGTAGTTGCGTTGGCCTACCAACGCATCATATCCCGCATCCGGGATTCTCATACAAGCATCGCTGCGCTGGGGATTTGGATTTCGGGTCGTTGAAACAAAGCATCCTGCTCCTGACGACTTGAATCTAGTTGCCGTGCAGTCTGTTGCTGCCCTGCTGGTTCCAAGCTGTTGATAAAGTGTACTCCGCGAAGCAAACAGCAGCAAGCATATCAACAAGGCAGCACAGCGCCACTTCCACTTCAAACGGCCCATCCCAAGGACTTTGCCATGAGGGCACTCATCTCCAGAGTCTCTGACGCATGCCATCAGACCCAATAATCCCATGGCGCAGCTAAGGCATGAGACAGATGTCAATGTCAATACATGCCTCCTGGATAAAACGTATGTACGTGTAGGGTTGTCTATGGTTGTCTATGTGCCAAGACCTCGGCAAATCTCTAGTCAGCAACATGAGTTCTAAAGTGAGAGAGAATATATCTTGTGCTATATACAGCAACTACACTTCCAAATCTGGCTTCATGGTCATGTCACTACCGCAGGCAAGGTTGATACCGGCAGCGAAGTGGTTTTTGCAATTCGAACATGGTGGGGTAGCAACAAAACAATGAGGCACGGTACACTTCACATAACGGTGCAAGTTTTGCGCCAGCGCTGCCGCTGTGCACTCCTTTGGCCTGGCTTTGGGATTCAAAGGGTGCTGGTGTTCTGTCACGCGAATCGGGCTCCCGTATGTGCAGGTTCAGAACTGGTTCAGAGCAAGCATCGCAGCACTGACCAGGGGCGGATGGGGGGGGTGGCCACAATGCTTGCGTGCGACTGTAATTAGTTCATATTACTCCTCACAACATTGCCAGTCAGCGACTGATTCCTGCCATGTTGTCTGCGGCGCTAGGTAGGCATTACCTACAAAGACCTTGATCTGAATCCGCCTTGGCTCTGAGTGCCGTGCAGATCGAGATCTCTGTGGATGATGTTGGGGCAGCTCCAGCAACTGTGCACGATGACTCGCCGCAGCGATACACAACTTGGCTGGAGCCTTCCAGCGAGCCCCAGACTTCGACTGTCTCTTCCACGACGCGAATCTCTATCGGAGCGCAGAGGCCTTCATCAACAAAGTAGGGCGGAAGGTTGCTGGCGACAACCGCACCGGCAAATCCGACAGCACACACGCAGCCACCAGCGACGTCTGTACCTGTGCTACCTGTTGGACAAGGCACTGGCTCACACTGACCTCGGACAGGTTTCGTCCCGGCACCACATGATATGCAACTTTCTGCATTCGTGCCGGAGGTCTGACCTGCGGGGCACTGCAAACAACTGTTCGATGACCCATCATTGTACCACTCAACTGGGCACGCTGTGCAGGTCATTGAGTCCGTGTTCGAACTCACAAATCCCCCCTTGCAATCCGTACATGTATCAGAGGCCCCACCATTGTACTTGCCAACTGAGCACGGGTGACAAGCAATTCTCTGAGTCCCTTCCATCACCACAGCACCTAGGCAAAGTTGACATGAGTCCTGCGACCCATCATTGAAGCGACCCACAGCACAGTCCTCACAAGTAGCTGCCCTCCTGCGTCGGGTCTCACCACGGCACTGGAGACATTCAGAAGAACCCTCCGTGTCTTGGTACTCTCCGCTGGGGCACTCTGTGTACATTCGAGCACCCTGTGTTGCAAAGGTACCTGTGGGAGCTAAGATGCATCCATCTGAGTAGGGCTCGTTCTGATATCTCCCTGCTGGGCACTCGAGACAAGTGCCCGGAGATGTGTGATCGGGATCTGTTGCGCAGGCATGCTTGTAAAATCCAGGGGGGCAATCTGAGCACGGACTTCTGGGGCAGGTCAGATTGCGCTCCCCGAAACCTCCATCTGCCAAGAAGTAGTAGTCAGGGTGATGCTCGCAGCGCTCGCAGGTTCCCTGCGAAGCGCCCCCGCACCCGATCCGGACCCAGCCAGCCGAGCAGCGCTGGCACGGTGCCTCGCTGCAACCTCGGCTGCTTGTGCCTCCATTGGTGACAAAGAAATAGCTTTGCTTGTGCTCAGTGCAGTTGGCACATGTGCCAGGCGCCAAAGGGCTTTCTAAAGACCCGCAGCCTTGTCTGTACATTCCAACCTCGCACTCCTCCTCATCTGCTGCACACGGTCTCGAAGGGCAAGCATCCACAAGCCCACCGCTTCCAACAAAATATGCATGGGGAATCTGAGTACAAGGTAGGCAGAAGCCTTCACTGGCACCGCCGCAGTTGGCACGGTACTGCCCGACAGGGCACTCACCACATTGAAGGTACTCGCAGTCATTCGGAACGGTACTGGACGATTTGTAGAAGTAGCCGTAGCGCGGTCCATTTGTGCAGGGTGCGCACGTACCAAGGCTGGCCATATCGCAACCATCGCGAAAGAAACCAACTTCACAGCCGCCGCAGGATTGCGTAAGGCAGGCATCCTCCAAGCCACCAGAGCTTGCAAGGTACTGGCCCGGCGCAGGCGGAGAGCAGGCGCGGCAATACCCAGGGTTGACACCCCCGCAGAGCGCACGATACTGGCCGACGCCGCAATCCGGCGCACAGTCCTGCAGCTCGCAGATGCCATCCACGGTACCCGATGAAGAGAAGTAATGCGTGGAGGGAGTGGCGTTTGGCATGTTCACGCACTCCTGGCACCTGCCTGGGTAGTTGCCCCCACACCCACGTGGGTAACGTCCGGTAGGGCATTGGACGCAGGGCTGCGTTTGGCAGCCATGTGGCTGTGCACCACCATCTGACACATAGTAGTACCCAGGCCCGGCATTCGTGCAGTTGCGGCATTCGCCCGGTGTCGAGCCTCCGCACTCAGACCGATACTGTCCCACACCGCAGCCAGCACACTCCTGGCAGCTTGTCAAATAAGTCTGCGACGGTGAATTCCAGGTGACGGTGCCAGAGTAGCCTTGGATGCAATCACAGCCTTCCACTGTCTCCACCGAGTGCAGGGGGCACGAGACCTTGGTGCACTGAGGGAGTCGGCCATCCAGTTCACCTTTAGCACGGCAGGTCATGCTTGCGGATGGGCCAAAGTAGGACCAACCCGGGGCGCACTGGATCGTGCAAGTGTCCAGAAACTTCATGTCCGAGCAGTTGTGCACCAAAGACCTATCTTGCGATTCGGAGGTCAATGCACAGGAGGTCTCCGAGATGAGGAGCGTGCCAATGACCACCGGAACGGCCGATGGCGACACGCGCCAGCAAATGGAGAAGTGTGGCGCCGTACGGCGTGTAGTGGTGCCAATGTAGTACTTGGCTGACGCCCCATCGGTGCCTGCAATTTCTGGGAAAGTCTCGAGCTGCAAGCCATTCTCCGCTTCGTCGGAGTCCATTTCGCAGCTTAAGGAGCCGTGCCTGCCAATCACAAGGCTGCTGTTCAGCGTCAAGCCTGAACCAGTGAGCTCCAAAAAACAAGGTTCACCAGCCATGCATTGCCACTGTTGCCGGTCAGGACCCGGTCCCAAGACCTGCAAGCTTCCGATGTGCACCAAGTCGCCGACACCCTGCCAGCTCCAGCAAAGTGGATAGGCTGCGCCGCCCCCCTGCACAAGAGTGCCTAAAGAGGTGGCCCCAGTCTCATTCACCTGCCGCTGCGGCAATGGACTGGGCACGAAGACTTGGAGGCTCGTGGCGTTGCTGGGTTCCAAGCTCTCTGCCAAAGCTGGGCCGGCAGCCAACCCGACCAAAGCATAGGAGTCTCCTGAAACGAAAGCGCGTGGTGACTTAGCACCTATATATTCCAAAGCCGAAAGGAACTTCTCGTCTCGGAAGGTGTCCTGAGTGTTGCCCGCCACAGCCACGGCAACCAGCGTGCCCGGCGGCTGCGCATGAATGGCAGCTGCTAGCTCATAGGGTGTCAGTGCATCCAGCGCAGCCGAGTATGACCGAGCCGTGTTTTGGAGGACGTGGCCTGAAAAGATGATTGCATGCACGCCGCCGGAACCCGTCAGCAATTCCACCTCTGCCTCGTCATCTGACCCGTCTGACTCCACGGGCTTCATGTAAAAGAAACACTCGTCCCCAGAAATTGTGCCACTGCTGCTCACGCGCAGCTGGGCGGCACCCAGCTGAGCTAGGCTGCCCCGGGCGAGTGGACAGCTCTCCCTTCCCAGCAGAAGCGCGCTGCCCTGTCCCAACCCATGTCCTTCCACCTCGATTATGCACTCTACACCCAAAGTGCACTGGAATGCTTGATCTTGCTCTGGGCCATTGAGCTCCATCACCCCCACCTCGTAGGCAAAGGCCACGGCCTGAGGCTGCAGCCATCGGGCGCCGTGGCCGCGCAACCTGCATTGTTGGAAAGCTGTTGCTGCAGGCTTGGCAACTGCCCGGGGGAGGGAGGCGGTTTTTATGTTCATACCGACAGTTTTTTGGTCTAGGCTGTTTATGCTGGGAGTACTCGTTTTGTCATGCTGCGAGGAGGAGGCGCGTGCATTGTGGTCTGCTGCGGGGCCGTGGTAGAAGAGAGAGAGGCTGGAGAGTGGAGGGCGGGTGGGCGGGGGTGGACCTTGGTGCACAGATTACATACATGCTGCATGTATCACACGTTCATGCCGGTGCTTGCAGGTGTGCGTGTGCGCGCGGGAGCCAAGAGCCTTTATGACACTCTGTGATGTCACTGCTGCTGCTGGAAGCAGGGCTTCCCGAACTGAGAGGTCATTGGAGGTCTCGATCTAAGTTCCAGACTTCCGGGAAGCTACTTCACTTTGAATACTTGTTGGTAGACGCGAAGCTCGAAAGCAACGTCATGCTTGGACATGAACCCTAGAGAACCATTTGACATGAAAAATGTGTGTTGCCAAACAAGCATGACAATTGCAAAACAACCAGCCAAAATCAGCCCGATTCGAATGAAAACAGCTCGAATTTGCAGGTTAAGACGTGTTGATTGATGCTTTTTTTGGGGTTTGCGGCCGCTTGCAGGTATTTGCGGCCGCGTAGCGGGCTTTTGCGGCCGCGTAGCGGGCTTTTGCGGCCGGATTGCCGGCAAGAGTGGCCGAACAAAAACTGAAAAAGCGTGGATGTGCAGCAGTCAAAGCCATTACAGGGAAAATGCCCGATTTAAACAAGAAGTAGACGAAGCCTAAGAAACATCACAATGCACCGAAACACGGACACAAATTTGTGTGACAAGACTGACCATTGCAACACCAAGCCACGCCAAGGTTTTCGAAGCCCAAGATGCTTCTGGCAGGCCCCAGCAAAGTCTGTAAAAGCCAGGGGTGCCGGCAAGTGGAACGCCGAAACTGAATTTCACCTCATCGGCACTCCAAGGAACATTGGTGGCTGAACGCGAAGGGTTCTGGAAGTCAGCGCCCGCCCAATTTGCTACACCAGATGCGTCGCCACACGGCTCTGCATTTGTAGGTGCAACAAGCAATCGCGAAAAGCCTGGTGCTGCTGAAGAGTGCACCACACATAGCTGGCCGAGAATGCAAGAAGAACGCAAATTAAACTGCAGGCCCTGTATGCAGCAATGCCGGCATGCATCGGGTGCAAAGAAGGCGTCATAATCTCCGTCTGATGATTCTCCACTCACATTGCACATTGCATGGCAGAGATACGTGTTCTTGACCACGCAAGACTCACATCCATCACTTCTGCAGTCGCACAACGTCGGCCACGATCCTGGCGAATGCATGCGAATGCAACTAAATCGATCGAGTCAAACTCGTCTCAAATTCTCAGCGTGAGAAGACAAGAACGGCACATGGCCCCAAAAGCTCGAAGACTTGAGAGTGAAAAGGCCTCAGGGCCTTGCATTTCCGCTTCAAGAAAAGGTTTGGGGTTTTGGGGTTTAGGTGTCAGAATTCCGGCAACGCCCTCAGCCCGGCAGCAAAAAGGGTGTAATTAGGGGTTTTCTGCTTGGGTTTAGAGTTCAAGGATTACCACGCCCAGAGAGCTGGAAAAAGATGTTCTTCATAAGAAAGTATTAAGGAGATTGGGATAAGAGTGGGCCAGAAAGAGCCACCAAGACCCGGGAGTACCTCATAGCAAATTCCAGGGACTGTTTTCGGTAACGGCTTCGCCCGCTCGCAGTCATAGCAAATTCCAGGGACTGTTTTCGGTAACGACTTCGCCCGCTCGCAGTCATAGCAAATTCCAGGGACCATTTTCGGTAACGGCTTCGCCCGCTCGCAGTCATAGCGAATTTCAGGGACTGTTTTCGGTACTGGCTTCGCCGCTCGCCGTCATAGCAAATTCCAGGGACTGTTTTGGGTAACGGCCTCGCCCGCTCGCAGTCATAGCAAATTCCAGCCGAGTACCCCCATCAATTTTTTGCAATTATCATGTGCATACTTCGAGAAGGCACCGAACAGCTGTCCACCAGCACACGAATCTCCTGCTGCACATGTCATGATGCTGCCTTATGCCAAGCATGCCTCGGTCCTGCGACGCCATCGCCGCAAACTGCCTTATAGCAAGGCAGCCCAGGCAACGGGCAGAGGAAGCCAGATTCGACGGTACATCTCTCGGAGCACCCATCGGCGTCATCTTTGTTCCCGTCATCGCACTCCTCCTGCCCAGTCAAGTGGCCGTCGCCGCAGTGAGGAACACTGCGCTGGTCACATCTCCAATCTGCACTCTCGGGCGCCGTATAAATCAAAAACCTGGCTTCTGCTCCTGTGCTTTCACCATGCCTGGTCCTGGCTGAACCTGGGCTACCCTCCCGAACAGCCCACAAGACGCAAGCATCCCAAACCTCAAACCCAACTCGGCAGCTCAAAATGAGCTCGTGGTCACCGAGTTCGCCATCTCCATGCTGGCGCACACGAAGCTGATGAGGCCCAGAACTGCGCACTGTTCCTGGCTCTGCATCGAAGACTTCGGAGCCAAAGTCCACATCAATGCGGTCCCAATAAACTTCTGGCATGTCGGCATCACTGCCATTGCGTCCGGCAACAACGAAGGTGAGGCGACTTGCTCCAGCACAGCCTGCAAAGGCACTTCTGGGGACGGAACTGTCGGGACCGGAGAAGTTGAAGCACAGCTTGTAGCCTTGCATGGCGAGCAGATCGGAGGATGGCGGGGAAGGCATGCGGTAGGCTTCCATCCACAACGTCTCCATCTCCATGTCTTCCTCTCCAAGCGGTCGGGCTGCCGCCTCAACTCTTTGGCATTCCGCTAGCTTGCAGGCAGATGTGCAGCCCAAGAGGAGGCCACCGTCATCACACTCCTCCACGCTGGGGAACACCAGCCCATCACCACAGCGTGCCTGGCATGGGCCCGCAGTGGGACACTCCCAGCCTTCGGCAACGGCTTTGCACTCGAGACAGCCACCCGTCGATAGGCCTCCCTCGTCGCAGACCTCATCTCAGGCTTTGGATTGGTTCCAATGAGTTCTCTTTATGTTGTATTCGTTAAACGTTACATACCTGTCTATCTCCGCCAGGCCCTTCAGGGGACGCCACTGACTTGTTGCGCTACGAACGGCGCCCATCCCCGCAACCCCGCTCCACTGCCCCCATCACCCACAATGTCTAAGTTGGCGCCCAACCCCTCAACCCCGCTCCACTGCCTCCATCACCCACAATGTCTAAGGATCCAGCTACGCAACGGCATTGTGTGACCGTAACATTTACACAGTGGCTCCTGACCCATCTCACCCCCACTTTCCCTTATCGTACTTGAAGGGTGAGGGATTTCAACACATCGAGACTTTAAATTGAAAGGACCAACCCCCACATGTCTATTCTTTTCTTGGCTGCCCGGATGGGGATGGAGGAGAGGGCGGGATCACAGTGACGGTCGGATGTGTCTGCAAATTGTATCTGTCCGCACGCCTGCTTTCGAAAGAGCTGCGACACGTTCGAAGCCCGGACTTTCGTCCCCATGACTTTTGCGATGTTTTCGAGGCCCCAGAGCTCCGATCTCCCGATATACGGTACTTTTGCACCCCCCGGATTTTCATCCCCTGATTGTTGGGAGGCCTGGAGGCCCCCAAGAGGCGTAGGCGTTTTCGCCTACATAATTTGTGCTACAAAACCAGCTTCCAGACTCAGGGCTGCGGCACCCTCTGAGATCGCGAAGACACACACTAAGATCACTAAGCAAAACCAGCGCCTTCAGTCGGCGACGCGCCAACAGAAGGTTCTTCTGCCCGCCAAAGTCCGGCTCGTGGCCAAGTACACTGTTACCGCCCATTCCTTTGCGGGCGCCGGTGCGTCCGACCGGTGCGTCCGACCGGTGCGTCCGATGAGGAGGACGCGGGCCGGTGGCCTATAATCCGGAAGACCCACCCGCAGACGAAAGCGCCTTGGCAGTCTGAAGGCCCAGTGGAGAAAGAGAGAAAAATAGAGAAAGTCTGCCTCAACCCAAGCTGCCATGGAGAAGAAGTCTGCTCGAGATGACAAGAAGCGAGAGACAAAGAGACAGCGAAAGAGAAGAAAAGAAGGAGAAGAAAGGAAAAGCAAGAGCGCCCGAAGGAAAGCTGGCCGTGCGTCATGTAGAGATCGCGATCTGGACCTCACGAGCGGCCCAAAACACGCGATCCAGTGAAGAAACTGCATATTTGGAGCAACATGCGCTCACGGAGACCGCGATCCAGGTCCGCGGAGCTCTCCGAATCACGCGCTTCGGAGGATGCACGCGCCTGTACAGACCGCGATCTACAACGCAACCACTGCGCATCTCTTACTCACGATCCCCATGTAATAACTAATACCCACCCCAAACATAACGTATTATTGAAGTCTTCTCCTGCCCCCCGAAAACATCTCGGATGTTGGGTTCTCTCGTTTAGGTTCAACAGTCGAGAGAGCAATACTGTGGGAATGGCGCGGGGATGGCGCGGGAAGGCAAGAGGCTTTTGGGATGGGCGCGATATTTTGGGATCGGTGCGATACCCCGGGTATGGCACTGGAAGGCAAGTGCGGCACAGGAAGCCGGGAGGACACCGCGGGTATGGCACGTGAAGGCAAGCGCGGGGATTGCTCGGGAAGCCGGGAGGACTTCCGTTGAATTGTAGCACAAATTCAAAACGCGAGAGAGCGATACAGCGAAAGTGGCGCGGGGATGGCGCAGGAAAGCCCGCGTCGATGGCGCGAGGATGACGTGGGAGGCCGGGAGGATTTTCGTTGAGGCGGGAACAATGTCTGAAAACAGCTTCGAGCCGTTGCGCCGTTGTGCCCCGCTAACCAGGGCCGGGCTCACGCTCTACGCCGCGTGTACGACCTACCACGTTTTGAGCTCTTCGGGGTGTGTCCAACAAATTCAACGAAGAAAGTCATTGTACATGTGAGCGTGATGCCCCACAAGCTTTGGTTATTCCAAAGAACCCTTGCGGAAGCCCCCTCAGTCCCCCCTCCTCGTCTTGCGGCTGCTTGGTCTCCCGCCCTTCCGAGAAGAACCTTGCTTTTGGGCGACACCTCTTTGGTCAAAGGCTTGTAGCCACAAAACCTAGGGAAACGCACGATTTGTGGCCGTGTTATGGCCACAAAACCTAGTAGGGATACGACCGGGTTGTGGCCTGTTGTGGCTATAAAACCTAGGCAAATGCAGCATTTGTGGCCTCGGGGACTCGGGGCGTTATCATACTAATTCAGGGGCCCCACCTGCCACAAATGCCAGGAACGAGGCGAATAGGCTAGCACTGCGGTACAATTCTTTTCCCGGGTCCCGCAAGCTGCCGAGCTCAAGAAGGCCCCTAAACGCTCGCAAGAAATTCCGGGCGCAATCATGGCAACGAAATGAAGACGAAATGAACGGAAAAGCCAGGCGGAGCAATTGCGACGAAATGAACGGAAGAAACCCCAGACGGAATCATTGCAACGAACTTAAGACGAAAATGAACGCAATAAACTTGAATTTTGAAAACAGGGTAAATACACCAGACGGAATCATTGCAACGAACTCAAGGCGAAAATGAACGCAATAAACTTGCACTTTTAAAATCTGCGTAGTCTTGTTCCTTATGAACAAATAGAGAAACTCTCTGAATCAGCCGAGATCCGAGACCCGGGAAGTTCACGAGAGAGAGGGAGGGAGAGAGAGAGAGAGAGAGAGAGAGATATACATATATATATATATATAAAGAAAGAAAGGGAGAGAGAGAGAGAGAGAGAGAGAGAGAGAGAGAGAGAGAGAGAGAGAGAGAGAGAGAGAGAGAGAGAGAGAGAGAGAGAGAGAGAGAGAGCGAGAGAGAGCGAGAGAGTGCGAGAGAGAGAGAGAGAGAGAGCGAGAGAGAGCGAGAGAGAAAGAAAAGAAAAGGAAACAAAGAAAAACAGAAGCAGAAACGACCGAAGGTGCCAGCAGAGCGTGACATACTGAGTGTTGACCTCGGAGAAGAACACAAGGCGTGACATGCACAGGCCTTGACCTCGCAGAAAAACAGGTGTTGACCCCGAAGAAAAACACAGGGCGTCACATACACGGGTGTTGACCTCGGAGAAAAACACAGGGCATGATATACATTGGTGTTGACCTCCGAGACAAGCACAAGGCGTGACATACACGGGAGTTGACCTCGGGGAAAAACACAGCGCGTGACATACACGGGCGTTGACCTCGGCAGGGGATACTGAGCGTGACATGCACGGGTGTTGACCTCGAAGCAAACACGGGGCTTGACATGCACGGGCGTTGACCTCGGAGATAAACACGGCGTGCAAGCAAACCTGGGAAAACCTTAAACTTGAAACCCAGATTCGGGCCATAGAACCTTTTCGCAGAGCAAGCAGACCTGGGAAAACCTTAAACTTGAAACCCAGATTCGGGCCATAGAGCCTTTTCGCAGAGCAAGCAGACCTGGGAAAACCTTAAACTTGAAACCCAGATTCGGGCCATAGAACCTTTTCGCGGAGCAAACAGACCTGGGAAAACCTTAAACTTGAAACCCAGATTCGGGCCATAGAACCTTTTCGCAGAGCAAACAGACCTGGGAAAACCTTAAACTTGAAACCCAGATTTGGGCCATAGAGCCTTTTCCTAGAGCAAGCAGACCTGGGAAAACCTTAAACTCTACAAAGCATATTAGGTGTACCTCTACCATTGGGCCCTAAAAAACACACGGGCCTCCACCCTTTTCCGTGCAAAAAGACCGTGTCAAAAGTGAACAAAAGACAGAGGTAGGAGCTCTTTGAAATACACGCGATTTTAATGTGTTAGAGAACGTGTTTTTAACGTGTTAGAACTATGACTGATATGTAAAACAGAAAGAAAGAACTGGAGACCACAAGTAGCCCAAAAACGTTTCGCAGCATTTACGCAGCATTTAGGCCAGTTTTGGGCGTTCTTTTTTTCCTGTTGTTGAGAATAATACTATTCTCCCACAGCGGGAAAAAATGAACACCTTCCCCACCATAGGGATTTCCACTTGGAGGGTTCCTTCGCGTCCCTTTTCGGCTTGGTGTCAAGACCCAGAATTTTTGTAGGGAACTGATGGGTATCGCGTTCCTTTCCTATTCCTTTCCACACTTTTCGTGCTTTAAACCCAGGTATTGAGATGTTTACGGGACTCGGACAATAGAACCTTTTCGCAGAGCAAGCAGACCTGGGAAAACCTTAAACTTGAAACCCAGATTCGGGCCATAGAGACTTTTCGCAGACTTGAAACCCAGATTCGGGCCATAGAGCCTTTTCGCAGAGCAAGCAGACCTGGGAAAACCTTAAACTTGAAACCCAGATTCGGGCCATCCAACCTTTTCGCAGAGCAAGCGACCTGGGAAAACTTTAAACTTGAAACCCAGCTTCGGGCCATAGAACCTTTGTCGCAGAGCAAGCAGACCTGGGAAAGCCTTAAACTTGAAACCCAGATTCGGGCCATAGAACTTTTTCACCGAGCATGCAGACCTGGGAAAACCTTAAACTTGAAACCCAGATTCGGGCCATACAACCTTTTCGCAGAGCAAGCAGACCTGCGAAAACGTTAAACTTGAAACCCAGATTCGGGCCATTGAGCCTTTTCGCAGAACAAGCAGACCTGGGAAAACCTTAAACTTGAAACCCAGATTCGGGCCATAGAGCCTTTTCGCAGAGCAAGCAGACCTGGGAAAACCTTAAACTTGAAACCCAGATTCGGGCCATAGAACCTTTTCGCTGCGCAAGCAGACCTGGGAAAACCTTAAACTTGAAACCCAGATTCGGGCCATACAACCTTTTCGCAGAGCAAGCAGACCTGGAAAAACCTTAAACTTGAAACCCAGATTCGGGCCATAGAGCCTTTTCGCAAAGCAAGCAGACCTGGGAAAACCTTAAACTTGAAATCCAGATTCGGGCCATACAGCCTTTTCGCAAAGCAAGCGACCCGGGAAAACCTTAAACTTGAAACCCAGCTTCGGGCCATAGAACCTTTTCGCAAAGCAAACAGACCTGGGAAAACCTTAAACTTGAAACCCAGACTCGGGCCATAGAACTTTTCGCCGAGCAAGCAGACCTGGGAAAAACATAACCTTGAAACACAGATTCGGGCCATAGAACCTTTTTCGCAGAGCAAGCAGACCTGGGAAAACCTTAAACTTGAAACCCAGATTCGGGCCATAGAACCTTGTCGCTCTGCTGGGAAAACGTAAACTCTAGAAAACGTGTTAAACTTGAAACCAAGATTCGGGCCATAGACCTGGGAAAACCTTAAACTTGAAACCCAGATTCGGGCCATAGAACCTTTTCGCAGAGCAAGCAGACCTGGGAAAAACTTAAACTTGAAACCCAGACTCGGGCCATAGAACCTTTTCGCAGAGCAAGCAGACCTGGGAAAATCTTCAGCTTGAAACACAGATTCAGGCCATACAACCTTTTCGCAGAGCAAGCAGACCTTGGAAGACCTTAAATTGGAAACCCAGATTCGGGCCATAGAACCTTTTCAGATGGGAAAACCTTAAACTTGAAACCCAGATTCGGGCCATAGAGCCTTTTCGCAGAACAAGCAGACCTCGGAAAACCTTAAACTTGAAACACAGATTCGGGCCATAGAACCTTTTCGCAGAGCAAGCAGACCTGGGAAAACCATAAACTTGAAACCCAGATTCGGGCCATAGAACCTTTTTCGCAGAGCCAGCAGACCTGGGAAAACCTTAAACTTGAAACCCAGATTCGGGCCATAGAACTTTTTCGCAGAGCAAACAGACCTGGGAAAACCTTAAACTTGAAACCCAGATTCGGGCCATAGAACCTTTTCGCAGAGCAAACAGACCTGGGAAAACCGTAAACTTGAAACCCAGATTCGGGCCATAAACCTTTTCGCTGCGCAAGCAGACCTGGGAAAACCTTAAACTTGAATGCCAGATTCGGGCCATAGAACCTTTTTCGTCGAGCAAGCAGACCTGGGAAAACCTTAAACTTGAAACCCAGATTCGGGCCATAGAGCCTTTTCGCAGAGCAAGCAGACCTGGGAAAACCTTAAACTTGAAACCCAGATTCGGGCCATAGAACCTTTTTCGCCGAGCAAGCAGACCTGGGAAAACCTTAAACTCTAAAAAGCATATTAACTATACCTCTACCATTGGGTCCTAAAAAAGACACAGGGGCGGTATACCTCTAAGAGGTACAGATAGTCTCATACCGGGCCTCCACTCTTTTCCGTGCGAAAAGGCCGTGTCAAAAATGAAAAAAGACAGAGGAGAGGTATGAGCTCTTTGAACTAAACGTGCTTTTAATGTGTTAGAGAACGTGTTTGCAACGTGTTAGGAACTATAAGTCATATGTAAAACAGAAAGAAAGAACTGGAAACCACTAGTAGCCCAAAAAAGTTTCGCAGCATTTACGCAGCATTTAGGCCAGTTTTGGGCATTACAGTTTTCTGCTGTTGGAGAATAATACTATTCTCCCACAGCGGGAAAAAAGGAACGCGTTCCCCACCATAGGGATTTCCGCTTGGAGGGTTCCTTCGCGTCCCTTTTCGGCTTGGTGTCAAGACCCACAAATTTTGTAGGGAACTGACGGGTATCGCGTTCCTTTCCTATTCCTTTCCACACTTCTCGTGCTTTAAACCCGGGTATTGAGATGTTTATGGGACTAGGAACATAGCAGACCTGGGAAAACGTAAACTCTAGAAAACGTGTTAAACTTGAAACCAAGACTCGGGCCATAGAGCCTTTTCGCAGAGCAAGCAGACCTGGAAAAACCTTAAACTTGAAACCCAGATTCGGGCCATAGAACCTTTTCGCAGAGCCAGCAGACCTGGAAAATCCTTAAACTTGAAACCAAGATTCGGGCCATACAGCCTTTTCGCAGAGCACGCAGACCTAGGAAAACCTTAAACTTGAAACCCAGGCTCTGGCCATAGAACCTTTTCGCAGAGCAAGCAGACCTGGGAAAACCTTAAACTTGAAACCCAGGTTCGGGCCATAGAACCTTTTCGCAGAGCCAGCAGACCTGGAAAATCCTTAAACTTGAAACCAAGATTCGGGCCATACAGCCTTTTCGCAGAGCACGCAGACCTAGGAAAACCTTAAACTTGAAACCCAGGCTCTGGCCATAGAACCTTTTCGCAGAGCAAGCAGACCTGGGAAAACCTTAAACTTGAAATCCAGGTTCGGGCCATAGAACCTTTTCGCAGAGCCAGCAGACCTGGAAAATCCTTAAACTTGAAACCAAGATTCGGGCCATACAGCCTTTTCGCAGAGCACGCAGACCTAGGAAAACCTTAAACTTGAAACCCAGGCTCTGGCCATAGAACCTTTTCGCAGAGCAAGCAGACCTGGGAAAACCTTAAACTTGAAACCCAGGTTCGGGCCATAGAACCTTTTCGCAGAGCCAGCAGACCTGGAAAATCCTTAAACTTGAAACCAAGATTCGGGCCATACAGCCTTTTCGCAGAGCACGCAGACCTAGGAAAACCTTAAACTTGAAACCCAGGCTCTGGCCATAGAACCTTTTCGCAGAGCAAGCAGACCTGGGAAAACCTTAAACTTGAAACCCAGGTTCGGGCCATAGAACCTTTCCGCCGAGCAAGCAGACCTGGGAAAACCTTAAACTCTAGAAAGCGTATTAGCTATACCTCTACCATTGGGCCCTAAAAAAGACACAGGGGCGGTATACCTCTAAGTGGTACAGATAGTCTCATACCGGGCCTCCACCCTTTTGACATACACGGGTGTCAACCTCGGAGCAAACACAGGGCGTGACGTGCACGGCTGACCTCGGAGAAAAACACGGCGTGTGACATACACGGTGTCGATCTCGGCGAGAAACATTGGGCGTGACATACACGGGTGTTGACCTCAGGGACCAAACACAGGGCGTGACATAGTGACCTCGGTGAACGCAGGGCATGACGAACATTGGTGTTGACCTCGGAGTTAAACAAAGGGTGTAACATACACGGGTTTTGACCCCCAAGAAAAGCGCAGGGCGTGACACACACTGACACGGGTGTTGACTTTTGAGAAGAACGCAGGGCGTGACATACATGAGCCTTGACCTCGGGGAGAGAGAAAAAAAAAACAGGGCGCGACAGGCACGAGTGTTGACCTCGCGGAAAAACACAGGGCGTGACATTCACGGGTGGTGCCCTCGGAGAAAAAGACAGGGCGTGACACACACGGGTGTTGACCTCGGAGAAGAGCAAAGGGCGTGACATACACGGGCGTTGATTCGGAGAAGAACGCAGGGCATGACAGATACGGGTGTTGACCTCGGAGAAAAACGCAGGGCCTGACATACACAATGCACGGGTGTTGACTTCGGAGAACAGCACAGGGCGTGACATACACGGAAAAAATACACAGGGCATGGCATACACGGGTATTGACCTCGGACAAAAACACAGGGCGTGACGTACACAGGGCTTGGGCTCAGAGAAAAACACAGGGCGCGACACACACGAGCGTTGACCTCGGGGAAAACACGGGGCGTGACATGCTCGGGCGTCGACCTCGGAGGAAAACACAGGGCGTGACATGCACGGGCGTGCGTGACATGCACGAGAGTTGACCTCGGCGAGAAACACAGGGCGTGACATACACTGGTGTTGAGCTTGGAGAAAAGCACGCAACGGAGCGGAGCACCACCGATGAGCGGGAGCACGGAGCAACGGAGCAACGGAGCGGAGTTGCGCCAATGAGCGTGGCGGGGACGTCGGCACGGAGCATGGAGCAACGGAGCAACGGAGCGAAGCAGTTAATAGCAGACGCGTTTAGCACCTCCAACGCGTTGAATTGTCATACAAATGCAGTATACTGGACTCGCTGTGTTCGTATGCGTTCGCCATGTGTTGGGGGCCAAACGCGGCAGTGAAGGCCGGGATGCCGAAGCTGAACAGACACCCTGAAGCCCGGATTCACACTTGCCGGGCTCGTGCACTTGAGCGCAGCAGGTAAATGCACGAAACACAGCAGTTGAGCTATGCGTCTGGATCCTAAGACGAGGTATCCAAAAATATCTCTGATATTGAGTTCTCGTTTAGGTACAAAATTGGATGCGGCGGGATTTCAGATGAATTGGCGCGGGGATGGCGTGGGAAGCGGGGAAGGAACGTCGCGGGAAGGCGGGAAGATGTTCGTTGAATCGGCGCGGGGATGGCGCGGGAAGAAGAAACGCGTCCACAGCTGAAAGGATTTTCGTTGAATCGCAGTACACATTACTGGACCCGCAGTTTGGAACACAAAGTCTATCCTCTTCCGAGAAGTACACCATAACATGATGGCACGGGATCACGCGGTGTGAGATGGTTTTTTCGCTTGATGTAATCAACGGTATACCCTGCATCACACTATTATCTAACATGTGCATGTGGAACAGACTGAAAACGTGGGGATTTCAGTCCAGCGCTCTTATAATTCGGATTGTTGTTGGGTTCCTGGCCTTGTTTACAAACAATAGTGATGGATTTGACAAATTGGTGCCCCACCCGCACTCGCCCTTTTACTGACCGGCCCCCCTCCCTCCCTCGATTTCGTCGATGTTCTCAATTCGTTCACAACTCTGAGGGATTTTGCCGGTCCCCTGCTAAAGCAGAGACTCAAGCCTAGCGGCGCTAGTGTTCGTGATTATTCTTTTTGCTATTGATCTTGTTGAGCTTTGTTGTTGACCTCCAGGCCCCTAAACGCCGGTGCCCAGCACCCATACCCAAGTCCTTGTCTGCTCGGACAACGGCCGGCCATGGGCGACAGCCCGACTCCATAAATCAAGCCATTGCAAAACAAGTGTGCGCAATCTGCGCCTCTCCGAACTCCACCTGGCCATTTCCGCAAACAGTCGCCGCATCCGTAAGGCCTTCTTCTCGGGCTTCCAGCTCCCACTGCAAGAAAAGATCGTCTTTGACTCCACTGCCAGGCGTCCAGCTGTCAACAGGGAAGGCGCCATAGCTGCTCGAACTGCAGCGGGGCTCGGAGCTGTCAATGGACGAAAAGGGAAGGCCGCAGAAGCGGAAGGCCTCAGCGAGGATGGACACATTGGCATTCGTTGCATCCGCAGCGCTGTGGGCACGGAGGGCCTTGCCCGTGCCTTCGCAAAGGTATACGGATTGCGCAAATTCCGGCGGGAGCTGCGCTGGAAATGTTGACTCGTCTGCTGCATCCACGTTCCAGGCAAACATGCCCTGCAGCTTGAGCAGATTTGATGGCCGCCTGACCACGGTCAGAGACCCCTGCTCTCTCCGCCAGGCGACAAGCTCGTTTGTGCGGGCTTCCTGGTGCTGTATGAAGACTTGGGACACGCAGGCCGGAGGGGCAGGACACAGCTGAGGCAGGTGAACATCCAGAATTTGCACGTGAAACTGCCGCATGATGCTGTCACTGGGATCGATGACCCTGTCACGAAGGCGCATGAGATCCTTCAGTACGGCAACATAGGCCGTGCGCACATACTCCAGGTCAGCGGTCCCTACGGTTCGGCCCATGCTCTGCTGCTCGCTGGCCATGCTTAACACCTGCTTCCAGATTGAACTGACGCGCCGAGCAAGGGACAAGGGCTGCTGCAGCTTCTGCAAGATCAGCGAGCGAATTGCTTTCGCAGCAGCTGGGCCAAGCAGCACGCTGCAGAACTCTGATGGCACGGGCGCAAGCTGGCGATGGAGAGCCTTCATCTCCTCCTGTGTCACAAGCAGGGCCGCCGACTCGAAATGCAATTTCAGCAGCTGGCTCTCGACGAGGATGCTGGCGAGCGTGGCAAACTGGTCACGCGCTGTGCTCCAGTGACCATGCAGCTGGCCCAGGAGGTAAGTTTTCGTGTTTTGGCCCATGTCAAAAGACTCTGCAAACGCTGTGACGCCTGTCCTGCAACGGACACACTCTTGCATCAATTGCCCGAGGGCTTTTGTGTGGCCTGTCGTGTTGGGCAGCCAGACCTGAGCGAAGTCTAGGAAAGCTCCGTCAATCAAAATTGACGAGGTCCTGAAGCGCTCCAACATCTCGCTGAGGTGAAAGTCCTTCTGCTTGCGCAAGATGTCCTCGACCAGGTGAGACAACGTGTCAAAGCGGGTGTTCAGGACGGATACTGCCTCTGTCAAGCGCCTCTGGCCTTCCAGCACGTCCGCGTTCAGACGAGCGACTTCTGCACTAAGTGCTGCAATACCTTGCTGTATTCCATCTAGCTTCACCATCGCCCCTTCCGACTGCGTCACGAGAGCAACCAAGGCTTGCTGGTTTTGCTGGACCTCGGCTGACATGGTGTCCATATCTGAAGCGATGTCCGCAAAGCCCTGTGCCATTCCTTCCTGGATGCTGTCGGTACTGCGGAGCACCAGCTCCATCGGAGTAGCAATTGCCTGCAAGACCTCTGAGCGGAAGTTGTTCACAACCTCCTGGACTGCTGTGATGGCCGTTGCTCGACCTTTGACCACTTCAGATCGGAGGCTCTGAAGCAAGGCCCTGTTCTCGGAGGAAGAGCTCTCTATCGCAGATGCCAGAAGCTGCTCCAGCTGCTCCGAGCGGCTGGCTGCGCGGACCTCCGCTGCATCCGCCTGGGCGACCAGCTCCCGCGAGATGGTGGTGGACAGCCTGCTCAAGACTGCACCCAGGTCGTCTGCCTGTGCCTCCAGTGCATCGATCAGCGTGTTGGATATGTCGTCCAAGCTTGACATTATGGCAGCACGCGTGTCACCCAGAGCATGCATTATATCGTCGGTGCCATCGCGTTGGATGCTGGCCATCTCTACGAGTGCAGCTGTGACTTCTGATCGTACGATCATTTCCACCTCTTCTGTCTGGCTTTGCATCCTCTCATCTATGCGATTGCTCGCGTTTGTCAAGGCCTCAAAGAGAAAGGTGGCCTGTCGCGCCTGCAAACCTTGTATCTGGCTGTTGACCCCGTCAACAATATCGTCCGCTGCTGTTGTTAGGCTTTCCATGAGGCGGCCCTCCATGCCGTTGATCTGCTCAGTCGTGCGCCTAAATCCGTCCAACAGACCTGTTCGGAGGGATCCCAGCTCTGCACTCAGCTGCTCTGTCACCTTGTCGACATGCTGAACGATAGCTTTCCTGTCAGATGATGCTTTGCAGGACATGTACCGTCGGGTCGCCGCAATACTTTCGTCCATCTCTGATACGATTTGCCTTTCCATGGCTTTCTGATGAGCCTTGAGCTCGGCAACAGACTCTTCGGCCAGCTCTGCCATTGTTTCGGTGAGCTGCTCGGTCTGTTCGTCCAGTTGGCTGCTAATCTCCTCGAAGCCTGCAGCTGCAAGATCCTTGAGAGAGTCCAGCTTGCTACTGATCTGTTGCAGATCGCCTAGAATCTCATCCAGCTGCTTGCTTTGGCACATTCGTTGCTGAAGGTTAAGCCCAGCAGCTCCACCTTCATCAATGGGAACCTCGGACCCAGCTATGATGGCGCACAGGCCGGCCTCTGCACTTAAGGTAGCGCACTGCTCGGCTGTCAGTATACCACCATGCTCAGTCCCGTCATCCAACCTGCGCTTTGAGGCTGACATCTTCAGAGTCTTTGGAGTATCGCGCGATGCGTTCGATGTGTTCGCCCACAGCACCTGCCGGTAGGCCAGTCTCCTTGGGCTGCACTCATATGGGACATCAGATGGGGCATCCAACACTTCATCGCAGCCCTCCCTCCAGCAAGTGCCTGTAGAAAGCGGCTTTGGTAAGCCCTTCTTGATGCAGGGAGCCTCTGATTTGTCGACAGAGTTGCATTCGACTTCCCGGGTGCGGACCCCAGGCACATCACAGGCAGCTGCATCACAGTTGCCCCACTCTGCCTCACTCCACGTGCAAACATCAAGGATCGTGCAGCTTTGATGTTCCGTTGGTGTGCCAGACACTTGGACACACATGTCAACATCATCGTGCGAACAGGTAGCGGTGCGATGCTGGACACCTTCCTCACCACAAAGGCCTGGAGCACCATCGTCTCTGCTGCATGCTGTCCATGGGCCCATGGTCCACTCTGGAAGCTCTCTGCAGTACTGTCTGATTCGACGGTTCCGTCGCGTCTGCTCTTCATTGTTGCAGTCCAGCTTGGATCGCACGAAACCGCACATCGCCTGAAAACAAGTGCTTTGAGACATGTCCACTGCTTCTTGCAGATCTGGCTCCAGGTCAACTTGGCCAGAGCGTTGCAGCTCCGAGGCACGATCGAAGTTCTTGCAAGCTTTGCTCATCTCCTCCCTTGCCGTTGGCTTCTTGCGGCCGCCTGTCCATCCCGAGTCGCCATTGCAGTCAAGAGAACGACCCACGATGCACTGGCGCAGCATCGGATGGAACTGGTACACCTCGCACTCTGCATCGTGACCACAGAGGAGCGCACAGTCTTCGCTTGACTGGATGCCCGTCAGGAACATTTCACCCCTGCAGAGCGCTCCCATGCCTTCCTCGTCCCAATACAGCTGGTCTTTCTTCGCGCACATCTTGTCCAAACCAACAGTTGCTCCATCGTGTCTAGTGTAGCCAGCTGCAGCAGACCTCAAATGGCAGATCTGACCGTCACCATCATCCGATGGACTCATATACCAACGGGCACATGCCTCGCAGTTGTTGCAGCGGGTGTCGCACTGAGCCGCCCAATAAACCAAACGTCCGCTATCGCAGTCATGGACAACCTCGCCCTCCTCGTCCTGCAGACCTATGGGTGTGTCAGCACAAAAACGATTGAACGATGCGACTTATTTCGAAGGGGCAGGTAATAGAAAGAGGTGGTCCCAAACTTCGCTAAATCGCCCGCCTGTGTTCTGAAAAATGCAGCCGTTCATGGTCTCCGCTTGTGCCTTCTCCACTTCCTCCAAGAAGTTCGGATTTGTGAATTTCTCCATCAGGGACCTGAAGTCCGGAATATTGAGCCAGCTGGGCTTCTCAAGCGCAGGCAGAAAATCAATAAGGTCCTTGGCATAAAAGGGCAGCACTCCGTCCAGGAACTTGTCTCCGAACATCTTGAGGAGCACATCCTCTATGATTCGTGTAGGGTTCAAGAAGCCCATTAGCGGCTGCAGTACCATCTGAAACATTGCAAATGGGCCAGAGCCGTAAAGTATTTGGAGAACGCTAAACTCCCAGCATATGTCTGTGAAGCCTAGTGGGATGCACAACTCGAATGAGTGGCCGAGGAAATCATAAAGAGGCTCGAGAAGACCAGTGAACCTACCAATTGTTCTGTCGATGGCACTGAAGGCTGCAAACACAGTGCTAGGAATGGCGTTGAAAGGGTTGCTTGGCCAAACCTTGAAAATTGGGATTGCATCCAGCAACTTCAATACTAGGCCAGTTATGTGGTGCAAGGGCAAAACCTCTTGCAGAAGAACGCATATATTCAGCTCCTCAGCGATGCGCTGAAAAACTTCTGCCGGGGGTCTTAGCAAGTTGCTCATGGCCAGGCCAGCACCATCCAAGAAGTTGCTTGCTAGGGAGATACCCTCGTGGATGGCGTTGCCCAGCTTGGTTGCAGGCTCCAGCACGAACTTCTCCAGAAATTCAGCGGGCGGCTTTAAGAAAGAATTGAAAAGCTTGAGGATGATTTTCCCTATCTTGTAGATCGGCTTACAAACAAAGTTGACATAGGGAACATTTGCACAGACCTTGAACATCTTCAGGAAGACAGCGAAGTCATGGATTTGCCAGGAACCATCCACAAGAACATAGCCCATCTCCGTAAACTCAAGGATCATGCTGGCCAGCTCCTGCAGGCTTTGCACCGTGCGGTGACCCTTGATCCTCTGCAGGCCCTCAAGGAAGATGTCTAGACTGGCGTCCAGCTGGCCTGGGCACAAGGGCGTGCCATCCCCCAAGCTCATTCCCAGGAGCGAGCTTACGTGGCCGGCCGGATTTTCTAGCTTTGCTGCAAGGTACGATTCCACCTGCCTCAGAGCAGGCCCACCGATGCTTTCCATGGATGCGAGGGCTACTTGCTCGAAATCCTCACCTGCCTGCCCCTCAGCGGCATCTGTGTCCAAAGAGTTGGAGGCATCTGTGAGGAGATCGCTCAGCTTGGATGCGAGGTCGACGGCGGCCGTGTCAGAACCAGAGCTGACAACACTGAGCAAGGTCTGGCCCTCGCTGACCAAGGTCTGCAATCGAAGAAGCGCCTGAGCAACCTCAGACTCCTGGCCGCCATCTGTCATCTGGGCAAGAATCGTGTTGAGATTCACATCAACGACCTGGGCGATTTCCCTCAAGTCCGCGAAGCTGGGGTAGCCCCGCTGCAGGATATTCGTGAGAGCTGCCTCCAGCTCAGCACAGCTCCCGGACCAGGCCTCCACGGTAGACACCGCGGATGAAGCACCGACAGTGTCGAGCGCCGCGGCCAACAAGGGCTTGATGAAGTCATCTTCCACGTCCAAAGCAAAGAGCTTCGCCAAGCTATCAAGCTCAGAGCAGGTGGGATAGCCCCTGCTCGTCATCTCGGGGAGAGACTGCCTCACTGCCTGAATCTGACTGATGTCTACCTGAGCAGTCTGCAAACGGTCAAGAACACTTTGCGGGATGCCGACGTCCCGAAGGAAGGTAAGGATCAAGGGCCGGAGCAGTGACGGGATGTCGAGGCCGAAGGCAGCTGCCAGGGCGTCGACCTCAGCATAAGTTGGGTACCCACGCTGACGCCAGGAGATGATGTTGCTCCGAACTACAGCCTGGTTCGAAGAGTCCAAGGAAAACTGGACGATGCGATCCACGACATCCCCTTCAGCCCCGATCTCCTTCAGCACGGCGACGACCAGCGGCTGCAGCAGGTGCTCAAGAGGGTCCACACCCAGCATCCCTGCTACGATCTCGACTTCGGAGTAGAAAGGGTAACCGCGCTCCAAAACTCTTGGCAAAAGGTCCCCAAGCTCCGAGAGTTCTTGGCTATCCGGCTGGAAGTTCATCACCAGGTCCACGAGGGACTGCGGTGCACCGACCTTGACGAGGGCTGTGATCAGGAGCGGCTTCAAGATATCCTTTACCAGGTCCGCATTGAAGGCTGCCGCCAGCATCTCGAAGTCGCTGTAAACTGGATAGCCACGCTCGAGCATCTCCGGGAGGACGGCTGACAATGCCACCTCATCGACGTCCTCAGCCTGTCGGAGCAAATCCTTCAGCGTTTCAGGGGCTCCGATGCGTTCCAGCAGCCAGAGGAGCAACTGCAGGACCAGGTCACTCGGCTCCAAGCCGAAAAGCCCCGCGACGATGACCACATCAGCGTAGACAGGATAGCCGCGGTCCATCATGCCACGCATCGCGGCTCGCACTTGCTCGACCTTGGAATGATCTACTGGGAGCGGCAAGTCATCATTGATCTGTAGGAGAGCCCCGTTGATCAGGGGATACATGAGCTCAGCCACGTCCAAGCCAAGTGCGGTGGCTAACGCTTCCAGGTCCGCCACACGGACCTTCGTTATGTCGCCCGACAGCAGCGCCGCAGGAACAGCGTCGTTGGCAAGCACATCAAGCACGAGCGACTGCTGCGACTGCTGCAGCGCGGGCAAGAGCATCGGCAAGGTGCGGTTGATGAGCGGTAGCAGCACATGGTCGACCAGCTTGATGCCGAAGACCTCTGCAAGGGCCTTGGCGTCTGCGAAGGTCGGATGCCCTCGATCCAGAACTTGCACTGCCACGGACTGAAGAACTGCGGCCTCCAAAGGCTCCAGCTCCTGTGAAGTCGATCCTCGCACCACGAGGGAGAAGGTCAGGCGAAGAAGCTCTGCCACCAGGCTGCTGAGCTCTTCTCCGAATCCAAGGAAATCAGCAAGCAGGTGAACCTCCGAATATTTGGGGTATCCACGTTGCCTCACCCTGCTGATGGCCGCCTGCAGCTGCATCAGCTGCGAAGCCTGCTCCTGGTGCGCTGCTGCTCGGAGCGTGTTAGCTGCCAGAGCCTCCGCATCTCCCAAAATTGAAGGGTCGAAGCCCCAAATGAGGCCCAGCATCTCGGCATCCACGAAGGTCAGGTAGCGCTGCTTCATGAGCGTCGGCAGCAGGACCCGGAGGTCGCGACTTCCGTAAAGTTGTGTGTGATGTGCCGACTGCACCAGCTCCAGCACCTCGGGCGGGGCTGACACGCCCGTGAGAAGGTGGAGCAGCAGGGACTGAATGCAGGCATCCAGCGAAATGTTCGCTGTGGGCGCCAGAGCCTCCAGGGCCTCAAAACTGGGCATGCCGGTGAGCGCCTCCCTGGCAGCTGACACAAGCCGTTCTGCCGACAAGCTGGATACCGCTCCGTGGGACACCGTAGCCTTAGAAGCACAGGCCTTGGTGAAGATTCCTGCGAGCATTGGCTCGAACAGCTGCTCGGCCTCCAGGCCATAGGCGGCTGCAATCGCCTGCACGTCGCGGACTGCTATGTCTTGCTGCAGGACTGAATCAACCGCCGCCACGAATGCCTCGGAGGCGGAGCTGGTGCCGTTGACAACGGCCTTCTCCACTACCTTCTCCATCACGTTCAGCTCTGGCGGAACGCCGATGCGCGACATAGCGGCGGCAAGAAGTGGCCTAACCATGTGCTGCAGAAGCTGCGGCTGGCCCCATCCAAAGGCATTGCCGAGGAGCTCGAGGTCTTCATGTGTCAGGTGGCCTCGGGAAGCACTTACTCTGCACTTGCAAAAAAAGCATTATACTGGTATTTGTGAAAGGCAATGAGGGAACTCTACTGCTCGGAGGACAGATGTGCCATGACATGCCATGCCCTGCCAACGTGACTCGTGTGGCAAAGCCGCTACAACACATGGAGCCGGCCTCTGCTCAGGAGCTCCTCAGCTGCTAGGGCCAAGTTCTCGTGCTCCTGCTCAGCGACACTGGCTCGGCGAACGGCTGCGACCAGGTGTGGTTGCAGCCCTGCTTGGCGCAGGTACTCGGCCAGCAGCGGCAGCGCCACGTCCTGCCAGACGCTCAAGCCAAAAACATCCGCCAAACTCTTCAAGTCCAGCCTGTCAACTGACAGGGCCGAAGGCTCCAGCTGCCGAAGGGCTTGCAGGGCATCGGCCGTCTGGGAAACACTTGCCCGAACAAGACGGCGCTCCATCTCACCCACCATTGTGGCTGGCATCCCGAATTGGGCCAACAGGGTGCGGATCATTGGAACCAGCACCTCACGTTGCAAGCCCGACTGTGTCAAGTTCAGCAGCTCCGCCAAGGACTGAGCATCGGAGTTGGAGAACGTGGCCTCGAGGCCCGACAGGAGGTCGTGGAGCTTTGTCAGCTGTTCCTGCTCAAGGGACTCCAGGACAGCCGGCAACACATGCGCCACATTCGAGCAGCCGGCTTGCTGCAACAGTGCTGCCAGCAGCGGCGACAGCACATCTTCAACGAGCTTCAAGCCGAAAGCATCGGCGACAGCTTCCAAAAAGCGAAACGGGAGCTGAAACGGGGCCGGGATGATGGAGACGTTGTCCCCGGTGGGCTGTGCGTCGACCGGGAGGAGGGGCTGGAGATTCTCTGACAGCCTGGAGAGCTTCAAGGCATCCTCCGTGAGGTTCGTAGCCCAAACCCTTTGAAGCAACTCGGGCGAAGCGCCGGCCCTCGACAAGGCGGCTGCAGCGAGCGGCTTGAGCATGCGCTCCACGTCCCAGATCTGTGACAAGGACCGGAAGTCTTCCAAGCCGAGGCTGCCCTTCAAGGAGCTCTTGAGCGCTGGCAGGATCTCCGAGAAAGCGTCGCGCTGCAAGGGCTGGTGTTGAACCTCCTGTGCCAGGCTTGGCAGGCCGACGGTTTCGAGGATGGAGGCAAGGGATGCATTCAGCAGTGTCTCGGCAGACAATCCCACAGACCTGCCCAGGAGGTCCAAGTCCTCGAACTCCAAGCCCCCCTCGCCCTCCGCGATCTGGCTCAAGTTGCCAACAAAAGCTGCGGCTTGGTGTGGAAGCTGCGCAGCTGCCAGGACCTCGGCCAGGGCAGCAGCCGTGCCTGCCGCCAGGCCAGCCTCCTTGAGGCCTGCGGCCAGCAAGACTGGCAGGGACGTGTCCAGGCCGAAAGCCGCAGCAAGCACCCGGAGATCAGCAAAGCTTGCGGAGCCGCTGTGCCAGATGCGGCTGAAGACCTGACGCAGGTCCTCCACCATCTGCATGTCCACGTCCTGCATGAGGGCCAAGTGAGCTTCGGTGGCGCCTGCGCTTCGCAGTGCTGTGTAGGCAAAGGGCCTGGCTAGGTCAAGGGCGAAGTCAAGGTCATAGCCAGCACGGCGGGCCAGCTCCATCAGGTGCTCGACATCGAGGAAGCTAGACAAGCCGCCTCTGCGAAGCAGCCTGGTTGCCAGGGCTTGTGCCTCCAGAAGGTCTTGCAGCTCAAGGGAAGCCAGCGCGCTCTGCAGTGAGGAGGTGGCCTCTGCTGGCAAGCCAGCCTTGCGCAGTGCGGTGCAGAAGAGCGGGAGGATCATGGAGGGCAGCTGGAGTCCGAGGATCTCAGCTAAGCTTGCCAAGTTGCCAAGCGTAGGCCGCCCAGCCAGGAGCTGTCCCAGCTCGAAGATCTGCTCTGGCGGCATGTCTCCAAAAGAATTCTCACTCTCGAGCAGCTTGGTGACGTTGTCTGGCAAGCCAGCCGCCTGCAACGAAGCCACCAGCGCCGGTGCCAGTAAGTCTTGCCACTTCAATCCGAAAGCATCCGCCAGCGCCAGGAAATCGCTGGGGCTGGGCTGGCCCGTTGTCAGCCATGTGATGTTCTCTAGAAGATGCACTTGGAGCTGCGCCGCTCTCAGCTGTGCCAGCACCTCTTCCGGCACACCGGCCCTGGACACGAGGGCCTCGAGGGTAGGCTTCAGGATCTCCTCGGCAGCGTCCACACCACAGACTTCAGCAATGGACACGAGGTCGGACACTGTCAAACCCCTGTGAAAGATGCCTTCCACCGTTTCTGCGAGGGATTCAAGGTCTTCCGGCTCCATTGTGGCGGCCTCCACCTTCTGGGAAAGGTCGGCCGGAGCCCCGGCCTTTCGCAGAGCGGCCACGAGCACCGGCTTCACCACATCCTCGGCGAGATCTATCCCAAATGCGGCGGCCAGGGCATCGAGGTCGGCGAGTGTGGGATACCCCCTTCGAAGTAAGCCGGGAACGAGCTCGAAGAGCGGTGGCAGCAGCGGCAAGATGGGCTCTGAGAGCTGCAGAGCTGCAACGGTTTGGCTTGGCAGGGATAGGAGCGATCTGCTTGATGCCAGCTTCACAAAGACCTCTTCAAGCCAAGGCTTCATGAGATCTTCCGCACTGACGTTCAAGGATGCCGCCAGCTCGTTCCACTCCGGCTCTGACGGGTAGCCGCGGCGGGCGATGCTCTCGAGGACAGCAATGAGCTCGGTGGGGGCATCCAGCTGTTGGACCAGGGAGGTCACGCCAGCAGGGACCCCCAGAGCCTCAAGCGCCTTCACAAGCAATGGCTTCAGCAGTTGCTCTGCCCACGCGGCATCGAAGCCCAGAGCATCTGCAAGAATAGCTGCATCGGAGACGGTGGGATAGCCACGCTCCTGCACTGCTGGCAAGGCTTGGGATAGCTCCTGGAAGCTGCTGCGCCGACTCTGCAAATCCTGCAGCCGGCTGACCAGTGTGGCGGCAGCGGTTTCGCCGAAGAACCGATCCAGCACTCTCTGTAGCAAGTCTTGCAACCCTAACTGCTCGGCGATCTCCTGTAAGTCCACGTGGTTCGGGTAGCCGCGACGCAGCACGGCGTCGAGGGCGTTCCGCAGTTTGGAGCGGTCAGCCTCTGCCGGCAACGCTGATTGCTCCAAGGCCTCCACAGTGTCCGGAGGCGCCCCCACCACCCTCAGCATCCACACAGCCAGGTGCTTCAGAACATGGTCAGCATTGAGCCCGTAAGTCTCAGCAAGGTTCTGAAGGTCTGAAGACCGCAAGGTAAGATTGCGCTCGAGAATGGCAGGCAGCAAGACTTGCAGGGGTCCTAGGTCATCCGCCTGCTCCACTGCAATGACCAGCTCCTCTGGCGCCCTTGCCTGCAGTAGGGACACAAGCAACGGCTTCAGCAAAGCCTCCAGTTGTAGCCCGAAGGCCTCGGCCAGTTCAGGCACGTTCATGGGGCCTCCAGACATTGCCTCCTGGACGAGGTCCAGGGCGCCACCAAGCTTTTGAGGCTCCGGCTCCGCGTCGCCCAGGGCTGAATAGAGCACCGACAGGCCCAGCTGCATGAGTGCGGCCCGAAGCAATGGCCTGAGGAACTCGTGCAATTCGAGGCCTAACGCTTGGATGGCCCCCTTCACCGCCTCATATGTGGGAATTGTGGGAAGCGAACAGATGATGTTGTTTATGGCCTGCACCGCCTCCGCAGTGATGGAAATGTCTCTGATGACCTCCACCTGTTTTGATGACGCTCCAAGGGTCTGAAGCACGCGCGAGATCATCTTCAAGAGGAGGTCGTCAGGCTGCTGCAAGCCGAAGATCTCCGCAATGGCAGTGAGGTCGTCCAGGTCTGCGCACTTCCGGGCCATCACGGCATCGAAACGAGACTGCAACTGCCGCATGGTCTCAGACGCTAGTGTGCCATGTGCGTGGATGGCATCGAGCATGTCGCTTGGCACTCCTGCAGCTGAAAGAAAGTGAGCCAGCAGTGGTGTGAGCAGGCGCAGGGGCTCCAATCCCAGGGCAGATGCCAGATGAAGGAGCTCGGAAGCGTTGGGCAAGCCTCGCTCGATCATGGCGTCCAGGGCCTGGTAGGCTTGGTAGGCCAACTCCATGTCGCTGCCCTCAATGCCGGCGCTGATGGCTTGCCGCAAGCCACTGGGCAACTCGCCAATGACCGCTGAGAGGACCTCCAGAACGGCAGGCTTGAGGAAAGCTGCCAGGTGCGCCTCCAAGCCAAAGGCGCTGATGCAAAGCCTCATGCTACGATAGCTCAGGCGCCGCTCGCGCATCACCGCATCTGCGGCCTCGCGCAGTGCCCTGGGCCTGGCATCCGCCTCCGCAGCCTCCATCGCCTCTATGACCTCCGGGCTCAGACCGGACTTGCGGAGGGCTGAGCTGAAGAAAGGTTTCACCAAGTCTCCCAAAAGGTCCAAGCCAAAGAAGGCCGCCAAGGCCTGCAGGTCAGAGTAGCTGGGATATCCACGCTGCAGGGTCAGGGTCAGGGCGACCTGGACCTCCTCGTCTTGCAAGGCTGAAGCCAAGGCCTCCTCCGTCGCAATCTTCTCGTATAGCGGAGCTGATGGCACCTGAGAAGCTTCCAAGAAGATGGCCAGCAGAGGCAGCAGCAAGTCCGCGAGTTTCAGGTTCAAGGCTTCGGCTAGCCGTGAAAGGTCTTCCAAACTGGGTTGCCAAGGCTGCCGGAAACTCGCGACCGCTTCTCGCAGAAGCTCTACATGTTCCGCCCGGATGTCCGCCTGTTGCACTTTGTCCCGGATGGACTCAGGCAGCACAGGGCCCAGAGCGGCAAGCAGCACGTTCTTTGCGAGCCCCAAGATCAAGTCCTCTGCAGGCCCCAGGCCAAGGATTCTGGCAAGGAGATCCAGGTCATTGAAAGTGGGGTGGCCGGGCGATCTCAG